ATAAAATTTCCCCTTGACTCACACAGTTGCCACGATAAAGTGGTTGTTCAGTGGCTCATTTCCAAAAATGAATCAATCTCAAATGTATTCACTGTTTCACCGTATAGCAATAACGGGGAGCCTGAACCCCAGTATACGGAACTATGAAGAAAAAAGCAAAGTGCATCTATTCATATTTTTGTCTATGTCTTCACGCGTCAAAGACATTGCAGGAGAAAAACAAGATACAAGAGTGTATGTAAGGTATGATCATACTTGCAGTTATAAAAACGTAGGAATTATAAAAATTTAAACATTTCTTTTCCGACTCCAGAAAGATTGACGAGGGAAAAAAAATCCAACGTTTTTTACTCTGGACAGTAGACTTGCGTTTTCCTGCCTCTCTCGCTCACAACGCTGTGCAATGATTTGTTCCCTCTCATCCGGACCGAACAACCCTCAGTCATTACAAAACGGGTCTACAACACCCAACCCCACAAGTAACCCTAAAGCTGATCCTATTTCTCACCATTTTCAGTTAGTAAGAAACTAAGGGGTGGGCCGGGGATATGGCTCAGCGGCACAAGCGCCTGCCTGGCAAACGCGAAGTCTTGAGTTCGATTCCTGGTACCAAAAAAAAGAGAAGCATCTAAGGGGAGCTCTAATGTGTCGGCGCAGCCCGGCACCACCGCCCGTGACAGATGCTCTCCCCCTGCCCCAGGCAGCGTCCGAGCACGTTTCTCCCCAGCAGACGCGCCGGGCTCCGGCCGGAGAAGGGAGGAGGCCCAGTCCCAGCGTCCCGACCGCCCCGGCCGCCGGCCGCTTCCGGCCCCGGCTCCTACCGGCGCACGGGCGGCGGCGGGCAGCGGAGCAGGCGTCTTCGCTCCAGTTCCTTTTGGAAGCGGAAGGCGGCGCGGAATCCCTTTTTCACTCCCCGAACCGGCGGGACAAGCGTGGGGGCGGCCGGAGCCAAGAAGGAGCGAGGCCCCAGCTGGAGCAACCTCACCAACCCAGATGCCATCGCTAGGGAGAAAGCAATGGCGGACGGAAGGAAAACGGTCGGACCGGTGTCGCGGGAACACAGTTCCGCAAGCCTCAGCGAAGCGGCGAGGCCGGGGCGGAGCCAGTACCCAGGAGGCGGGGCGGCTGCAGCTGCGGCTGCGGCTGCGTTTTACTGCGCACGGGCAAATGCTGATTATTGTCTTTTTTTGGGTACCGGGAACATAACTCCTTTTGAGGGTTACTTTCAAATGGGCGGGCTTTGAGAGGACGCATCGTAGGTGTCTTCACTTTGCTACCTGCTCTCTTGTTATTTTCTCATTAGCACAAAACAAAAAACTTGTTGCACTTTCAGTATAAACACTTAAATTTTCAAGAGAAAGTATCTCTTGTTTGTATTTAGTCTTCAAGTTGCAGACCATTGACTCAACCACTATTGAACATTCTACTTTTTACCTCGCACATCTCTAGAAGCCTTGCTCTCAACAGCTTTAGATTCACAAACGTGTTCACATACCTTAAAATTTGTATTCAGGAACAGCCTAAACTACATTTTTTACAACTTCGGAGAAAGCCCGGGGTTAGGGGCCAGGAGGTATCAAAATGGTAACAGTGAAATTGAGTGTTTTTTTTTTTTTTCCTTCTTTATCCCCACTCTTCAACAGTGCTATTATATTTCTTTCTTACCAAACAATAAATTTAAGAGATCTTTTATTAAGTCACAAGGAGATCCATGTCTGAATTCCAAGTTTAGAGTTGGTTGTTGCATGGGGTACCTCTTTCTACAGCAGGTCCCTGTGGCACTCAGATTGGTCTCCTCAGTCATAGGTTATGCCTATTTCCACAAACACTTCCTTATTTTCAGTCACAAAGTCCTGAGATATCCTCTAAGGAATGAGTAATTGACTTTCTATCCCCTCCTAACTCTAGCTCACTAGCTGTCAGTGTCCTCCAGCCAAAACGATCAGGGACAGATCTGTAGTAAACCTCAGGGACAGACTGCTTGTTGGAAGATGAGAAACCATGGGAGATCTGGGTCAAAGGATGTCACAAAGTACTTATTATAGGACTTGTGTGATTGTTGGGGGAGGTGCATTTAAGGAAAAAGGACTTCTCTCTGGATTGGATGTTGACGGCAAGTGAAGGTAATTCTAAGATTGGATATCTGCTCTTCTCCCCTGGAACTGGGAATTAATTCTAGGCAACACTGTGTTACCTCCCCAGCCCTTTTTCATTTTATTATTCATTTTGAGATAGGCTCTCAATAGGTTGTCCAGGCTGTTCAGCCTCCTGAGTAATTGGGATTATTGGTGCTGCCCTCAAACACTTGCTATCCTGCTGGCTCAGCCTTGTGAGTAGCTGAGATGATAGCTGTGGGCTAACACTCTGGGCAAAATTGAGTATCTTAAGTTTTACCTAGAAGCAGCAAGAGTTGATAGAGTCTAATGCTGTAATTGATAAACAAATGGAAGTCTCTTACATTAGCCAGGACAGGAGGACGTCCGGTCATCTATGTGGTTTGTATGCCTGTGCTTTGGCTGTATTAAGACATGATTATAGGGTGTCCCCGTGTGGTGTCTATGTTCCATAGGAATCAGCCACGAGCACCCGGCTGCCATCCAGCAACATCAAAGCCAGGCTGATTGGTACCTACCCACCTTCACCCAGGAGTTAAATGCTTCTCTTCTCTCTCATAGATATGCAAGCAGGTGATTGAACTTTCCTGTGGTTCAGTTTTTTCATCTCCAAAATGGGAACACAAAGCCAGGAGTGGAGGCTCGAAGCTGTAATCCCAGCTCTAGGGAGGCCCAGGCCAAAGGATTGCCTCAAATTCAAAGCCAGCCCAGGGTATATCATGCACTCAAGGCCAGCCTAACTCCATAGTGAGAGCCTGTCTCTTGGGGGGTAGTGGTGGGGCAATCCCCCAAAACAGGGAAACAAAACATTCATCTTTCCATCTTTTAAGATTATCAGTATTGAGTGAGATAATGGGGAAACTGGGACAGTACCAGGTACATAGACACCATTCAATGAATGTCATCTGCTGCAGTTCAAAGATTTTATGATGCAGTATTTTTTTTTCACATCTCAGTATTTCTGAAATCGGGGTATCTTTCAAATGAAAATGTTGTAATCAGGGATTACAAAGGAAAACATTTAACACAGGACACATAATTTATAGGATTATTTTATAATATGTACCCAAAGAGTCAAATGCAAAAGAGTGTGGGAGACCTATCTACATACTAGGGACCCAGAGAATCCAGCTGAGGACTTGTATTCCAAAGCAATGTCCTGCATGAGTCCTGCTGAAGACCCAGAGCCCATAGCAATGTAGTCCATGAATCCAACTGGAGGCCTAGAGCCCATGACAATGTCTCATACAGGTCTGTATCAAGGATCCGCACTGGGAAGACCCAAAGGTCAATGGTGGAAGCTAGAAAGTCTGCGCCAGTGGGGTCAAGAATCTAGGCCAGCAGGCTGAGGGAACTGCATTGGAGTCAGGAAGCGATGCTCAAAAGTAAGGGCCAGAGCTCCGGGAAAGAGAACTGCAGCCATCCTCAGCAAAATCGAGGACCTGAGCCCCTCTGACGATGAGAACAGCTGAGTTCCTATCAGGAAAACCAAGCAGAGCAGCTTCTCCAGGAGAATCAACCGCACGCCATCTTCCCCCTAGTTCTGTTTTTTTATGCAGTTGGAGACAATCCTCAGATGGGCCCTCCACACCCAGCACCACGCTGATTCAGTTCAGCTGGGTGTTACGAGCTGGCCATTAGTTAACCCACCACAGAAAGCCTCTCAGAATGGACACAGTACCCTGTTTTGCGCTATCTCCCTCTTTTTCATTGCAGATCAAAAGTAGGGAGACCTGGATTATTTTTCTAAAAAAGGGCATAAAATGAGCAGAACACAGACTAGGATTAGGTCATGTGAAAGAAGAAAGCAATCCAAACCCAGTGTGTTTCACAAATCATTAAAATGATGGGGTTTCATTGTCACTAAATTTAAAAAAAAGGATGTAGGGCAGTGGTAGTGTTATAGCCAGCTGAGTTAGACAGAAATATTAGAGGTAGTCAGACAGGGCCAGGCCCTGGAAGGAGCCCACATGAGAGACAAGATACCTGTGGGCCAGACCTCAAGACAAAAGGACTAAACAAATGCACCCACACACCTCCCTAGGGATGGACATCAGGGACTGATGTTCTAAATAGGGAGCGATCACCTGGAAGAGTCATTGACTCAACCCCTTACAGGAAAAGCCCCTGTTCTGTATTCATGCCCGCTTGCTATGAGACTGGCTTCCCCATTGGATCCCAATTTAATCAATTTTACCTGAACAATTCTTATTGGCTGACCTTAGTTTTGTCCTTTTCCCCCTACCTTGGACTCACCTCGCCTCATGGTTCTGTTCTATAAAAGCCCCTAGAAAAGACAGAATCCTGGGTAACCCACTCGGGTCCCCCTTCTGTTCCTCTCTTGGACAGAAGCTTTCTTTCCCTCAATAAATATATTCTGCTGTTAACCTCCGCTGCTCCTAAAATTCATTCTTCGATTTTAGAGAACACGAACTCGGCCCAGATATCATTCAGGTTGAGAGTTTTTAGTTTCCTGTATCAGCAGTACTTTCTGAAAGCTCTGGTTGGTCGGTTTGAGGGACACTGCTCGTCCTCGCCAGCCGCTCAATTCATTCCTGGTGAACGACTTTACTTTTTAACCTTCATTGTTAGCCGGGCCTGGTGGTGCACGCCTCTAATCCCAGCACTGGGGAGGCTAAGGCAGGAGGATCGCTGCGAGTTCGAGATCAACCTGGGCTACAGAGTGAGCTGAAAGCCAGCCTGAACTGAACAGCGAGGCCCTGTCTAAAGAAAAAAAAAAATTGTAACCTTCATTATTGTTCCCACTTCTCAACTCACTCTCTGGGGTCCTCCCCCCAGTACACAGGGTAGAGGCGCGGCTTTTCCAGGTAATACGGGTTTGCGGCGGCAGAGCTGGCGAGATTACGGCAGCGGCGCGGCGCCCACGCGGCGGGGTCGCCCAGGGAAACCGGCGCGTCCCCGCCCGCCCGGCCGTCAGCTGACGGTGCCCGGCAGCCCGCGGCCGCGAACATGGCGGCGGAGATCCACTCGAGGCCGCAGAGCAGCCGCCCCGTGCTGCTGAGCAAGATCGAGGGCCACCAGGATGCCGTCACGGCCGCGCTGCTCATCCCCAAGGAGGACGGCGTCATCACGGCCAGCGAGGACAGGTAGGCCGGCGGGGCGACGCGGGCCCGCTCCAACCTAGCCGCGTCGGCGTGTGGGGGCGGTGGGTCCGCGGCCCGGCCTCCGCGCGTGGGCCGCCCCGAGCCCTCTGTCCGCCGATCCCGCCGGCCGGTCCTCGGGTCTCGACCCCCGTCGCACCTCCTGAGTACGGAGCCCCGTCCCCCCAGCCTGGAACCCTGTCTGCACCGCGCCCCTCGGGCTCTGGAGCCCTCGTCCCCCCGCGCCTCGCTGGCCCAGGACCCCTGCCGTCCGCCGGCGACCGCGGCGCCCACCGGCCTTTCACCTCTGGGGGGCTTTGCCCGGCACTCAGGAGCTTCTCGGCGTCCGCGGTCGGTTCCCAGTGACCTCCTTCGGGAGCCTGGGGGACTGGCGGCGGGCTCCCACGGCTTCTAGCGCCGGTATTTCTGACTGCTGGGAACCTCTGGGGTGTGTTCGCCTCTTCTGGTCGCTCTGAGGTTTACACCTCTTTGCCCTACGCCAGATTTTCATCACCATTGCTAGAACCTGAGTTGTTATTTACAAGTTTTTGGTTTTCTTTAAAGTAAGAGTGACTTATTTTTAAAAAGACTAGGCGCATTTATTTTAGCAGTTTTATTTATATTTCTCCCATTAGGAAAACTGATATCACTTGCCCCAGAGAGTAAACTAAAAGTGTTAATCTGTGTGCATATAAAATTGTTTCTGACCTGTCCTAATGCTTCTCGCACTGGATACCCACCACTCTTTGGGAAAGAGTGATTTGGACTCGTTTTTTCACTTACCCAGGAGGAAACTGAGGCTGCAGAGGTGAAACTACAGTAGTGACTGAGTCACAGAGATTCCAGCGAGACAGGAAACGGGTCTCTCCATGCATATTCTGGTCTTCAGGGCAGCATACCTGACTAGGGGTGGTAGTCCTTGTTTTAACACTTTGGCGTTTTTAAGACCCTAAAGATTTAAAACTTAAGCGGCTTTCTGGTGAGGCGGTGAAGGAAGTGATAGATGTGTATGGGATGAAACTCTGCTTGGTCCAGTGAGTGGTCCTAAATAGAGTCAAAATGGAAGTGCGTTGTGGGTGGAAGGTGCAGGACTGCTATTTTCTCTAAGCTAGAGGCAGAGACAGACTTTCATAATTATGATCCTTTGAAGTAGGTTGCATTGAGGGCTTGTCCGGAGTGGAAAGAGAAAGCCAGAGGCCCAGAGCTCCTGTTTGACCTTTGTGCTTGGCTTTTGAACGAGCAGGGCCTTTTCCTTAGTAAGGTAGTGAGTTTGTTATGAGCGGCGGTGGCCTGCCACTGTCCCTGCAGTTTTTGTGTAGGGGACCTCAAGGTGGGGAAGGGATGGGTGGTGCTTGGTGTGTGAAGCAGGAAAGTAGTGGGGGAACAATGGGTGCCTGTGACATAGGGACAAGATAGGAATGTTTAAAAAAAAAAAAAGCAAAGGACGGAGAAAACATGGTAGTGTTTGATTTGAGCATAGATACCCACTGGCGTGTGGTGCATGCCTGTAATCCCAACACTCAGAAGGCTGAGGCGGGAGGATTGGAAGGTTGCGCTTAGCCTGGGCAATCTAGCAAGACATTGTCCCAAAATAAAAAAATAAAAAAGGGAGGGATGAACTCAGTGTGAAGGCCTTGGGTTAAAAAAAAAGGTAGTCTTTATTTAATAAAATATTTTATTTCTGACTCATGCATGTTAGATAAGTTGCTGAATAGTTGGATTACTGGGCAGCAGCAGTGCTGATAAAATGTTTTACGGAAAGTGATTACTAAGCTGCTCTGGGACTGGCATATTGTGGGATCAGGTCTTGGATCAAGTCAGCCCCAGTGAGTCTGGAACTCTCTTAGCTGACTGGGCCAGTGAAGGTTGGCACCTCAAGTTCCTATTTGTGTCTCAGGCCCATAGAAATTCCTTGGGGGTAGAACAGCCTTTTCAGTAGAGGCCAGTTTTATGAGGGTTAATGAAAGCAAGTGGCTATATTTTTTGTTGTTGGCTATGTTTTTTGTTACATTGTCATATAAATAATAAACTTTATACCATTCATTCATGTATTTAGGTGGTTTCTAGATTCCTTCTGTCCTGAGCAAAGAATTGGTCAAGCCAAGGACAAAAAGTAGCAAAGTTTTTACATTTATTAAAGGTGTGCAAAGAAAAGAAACATGCTCTGCAGAGGGAGTTCAGGCCAACTAAAGATAAGAGATACACCTGTCAAACCACAGGGTGGGCCGCTGAAAGAATTAACAGTATCCCTTAGCTTGATGTCAGGTTTAGGGAGTGCTATCAAAAAACCTGCTGAAATTCTCTGGAGAAGAATTGAAAATAGCTCTCTCTGATTGGTTCCAAGTGCAGAGCTTTAGGAAATACTCTGTGCATTGTGTCCTGGAACTCTGTAATTGACAGGTCGCACCCACTTCCCCAGCCAGTTTGCCATGCCCTAAATCTCCTGCCTCTGAACATGCACTGGTACCACTTCTGCTTCGTTGATTTTTGTGGCTCTTGACCTGAGAAAGCCAGCACAAATGTCTGAGGGGGTAGAGCACAGACTTTTCATATTTATCCATGTATTTGTTGGACTTTTACCAAGTGCTAGGCCCCTATTGGATCTGTGGGGTAGAAAGACAGCTGACAGACACCAACATCATTCTTTCTGAACTAGGCAGTCTACTGAAGAGACAGCACTTTGGACTAGCTCACTTAGTTGCCAGGGTGATGGGAAGAAACACAGAGAGAGCAAGCAAGCTCTTTGGCTAGAATGGAGGTACAAGAACAACTGCCAAGAGGAGGTTCTTGGAGCTGGTCTTTGTGAATAGGGGAGTGGCCTATAGAAGGAGAGATACATATCCCCCTTCCAGGCGGAAGGAAGGACAGGAGGGGATTTTAAGGATAAAGAAGCACAGCTATTTGTAGGTGACTAGAGCAGAGGTATGAGGCCTGCCACAGCAGGAGAGAGGACTGAGAGCGGGGCAGTCTGGCGTCCGGTTTAGGAAGAGCGTTTTTTTCTTGTTGTTCTCTTGGGAATTTGGACTTTATTTTGTAGGCAGTGAGGAAGCATCAAAGAATTCAAAACAAGCAAGTGATATATTAGAACTTGTACTTTAGAAATAACAATAGGTAACCATTTAAAAACCTGCTGTCTACCAGTACAAAATTAGACCTGTGTTTGTTACTGATCTAATCCTTACATCTCCTTACCCCCAAGGGTAGGTAAAGTCTCTTCCCTGATCAGCAGTTCCAAAATTCAGTATGTTTTGAAAGTCATACTGTGTGTATGTGGGTGCGTGCCCTTGCATGCCTAAGTTGGACCTGAAAAGTCATTTGGTGCTAAAATTTGACCTCAATAGATGAATCTCTGTAGTGTGAAGACTCAGCCCATTTTACTGCTGAAATAGCAGTGCATTTAGCTGAGGGTGTCTTGCTGAGGAGTGTTGGGGAACCAGTGGTTCATGCATCACATTGTAACAGCCGCGGGCAGATTAGAAAACTGAGGTGCAAAACCACATTGAAATAACTGCCCAAGATCATACTGCTGCTAAGTGAGGAGTGATCAGAACCCAGGTCTGAGTCTGGGGCCCTATTTCATTTTCCTGTGCACCCAGTTTTTAAAAATACATCTGGAGATACTCACCAGGCAGTATTAATCTGTGATTGACTGCTCCACACCAAGGATTTTTTTTTTTTTTTTACCTTTTGCTGTGATTCAATTTTTCATCCTTCTTTTCTACTTTTCCTTTTTTTAAACATTTTCTAAATTTTTATTACTTCTCTAGTTTTCAAGGTTAAAAAATAATCAGGTTGGATCTTTTCTGTACAGCTTTTGCTTTGCTGCCTAGAAAAAGAATATTAAACATTTAAAGTAGGTCCTGCTAAAGTTAATTCATTTTACAAAGCTTCAAGCAGTGAGAACAAGCTCAGAACCTTTAGAAAGGCCAAGTGACATAAGGCTCTTCTGAAGTTAGTGTGTACGTTTTGAAGTCTGCACTGGTGATTTTGGCCCCCAGTGAACCTTGGCAGTATCCGGAGCCATTCTGGGTTTATGGGATTGCAGAGAAAAGCTACTGGCATGTAGATCCCTTCCAGGAACGCTCACTGTCCCGGAATGCACAGGATAGGCAGTCTCCACCGCTAAGGATTCTTTGGCTCCCCAAGTTAGTAGTGCTAAGATTGAGAAACCCTAATGTAGGTTTAATTTCCTGGTTTTTATGGTCTTTCTAGAGCTGTGGTTCTCTCACTTGAGCATGCGTCAGAATCACTTTGAAGTCTTGTTAAAACACAGTTTCCTGGACGCCATCCTTGGAGTTTCTGAATGGGAACATTGGATGGGACCTGAGAGTTTCCATTTCTGCTGGGTTCCCAGGGGATGTTGGTGCTGATACAGCTGCTCTGGCTGGTCTAGGAGCTACCTTTTGAGAAGCACTGTTCTTCAGGAAAGGAGGGTTCCTCGTGTGCTTGGTATATAGACTCACTGGGGAGAATACTGTGTACATTTTAGCCTCTTTTTTTTTTTTTTTTTTTTTCTGGTACTCTGAATTGAACTCACGACCTTGCGCTTGCCAGGCAGGCACTGTGCCGCTGAGCTAAATCCCCAGCTCCATTTTAGCCTCTTTTTAAAAAAATTTTCTTTGTCAGTGTCTGGAATATTTGCTTACATCATTCATACAATACCCGCAGTAAAATCAAACTATGTATGACAGAGCTAAATAGAATTAACCCTGCAAAGAGTATTCAGCCATTGTGGAACAGGAAGGCTTCATTTCACCATACCAGACAGATAGTTCATTAGTGGTTGGGGCATCGAGCAGAGAGGTCTGGTTCGAAATTTCCTGAATGGTTACTAGAGAATGGCACAACTTGTGTGAATTTACTTGTATTTTGTTGGAGTAGTAAATACCTTAAGCCCTTGTACTTAAACTCCATTTTACTGCTATATCTAAGTGCATTTTTTTAACTTTAAATTCATGAACTTTGGAACTAAGATTTGGAGCTTTGAAGTCTTAGCAAACTGTAAG